GCACTCAGGGCTGATTTCCTTAAGAATAGATAGGTTTGATCTTCTTGCAGTCCATGGGACTCTCAAGAGTCTCCTCCAGCACCAGAATTCAAAAGCATCAATTCTTCGGCGATCAGCCTTCTTTATGGTCCAGCTCTATGGGGCATAATTTGGGGGTTGTGGAGTCAGGTGGCTTGTTGATTTCATTAAGGCCCTCTACCCTCGTCCCCATAATTTAAGCCAGGGTACCCAACGTGGTTCCCTCCAGTTGTTGGTTAGGCTCCAACTCCCACCAGCCCCAGCCACCATCAGGATGATAGGAATAGTAGTCCAGCGACATCTGGAGTCCACCACGTTGGGTGCCCCTAACTGAAACCTTGTTGGACATCTAGTTCATTGTTAATTCCCTTTGTGGAGCAGAAGATGCGATGAGTGCCACAACCCCAGTCTACCATGCATGTAAGAAGTGCTACAAGAACATCTTGCCTTGGGCTGTAAGCCCACATTGCCCAAATGCAACAAAGTACTCAGGTGGCTTCTGAGAATGGTTGAGAGGGTTGAACCTTTGTGCGCCAGGCAGAGAAAACCGGCCGGGCAGAGTCTGTCCGCGGGGTCTCTCATTTCTCTGTTTTCCCCCCGAGAGTTATGCAAATCGGGTCGTCGCATTTGCTGCAGGCACTTTTTATTGCCCAGATTAATTTGATACTGTTTCGGAAAGGCGTACGCTTGAATATTTAACAAAAGCAGCAGTGCAAGTGACTAGACAACATTAAAAATATTGCTCTTGCATAATTTATGCCCGTTGACGCTGTTAGCATGCTTCACTTCATCACCTGCTTATGTGGAGACTGCTAGACGCTTCCAATCTCATTAAGCTATTTATTCATTGTAATGAATGGTTTTTAATGCACTGTGTCAGGGTTATGCCATGCTGGACCTCTTAAAAAAACCCGTCTTACTTTACATGTTTCAATGTTTGCACAAATTAATACTTTTCATTACTGCCACGATGGTTGAACTGACACTGTTTTCCACATTAATCATGTTTGTCGCAACTTCATCCCACTCTCCTTCTGTGCTGAAATTCTGAAGCACCTCGCTCTTGGACAGGAACTTTGGAATTGTGCTGCTTTGGCCTTCACATGAAATGTACATGACCTGAGGCGGGGTGATTGTCGCTCATATTTTACATGGCCTGAAACAGACACAGAGGAAACAGGAGAGGGGAGAACCTCAATGGGTACTAGGAAACAATTCATTATGAAGAAAGTAAATGATGTTGGTCATAGAATCAGAGACTTGGAAGGTGTCCTGGGGTCATCTGCTCCAACCCCCTGCAATGCAGGGATCTCACTTGAAGCATCCAAGACAGATAACCATCCACCCTCTGCTTCAAAACCTCCTGTGGATTCTACAACCTCCTGAGGGAGACTGTTCCAGAACTGTGGTTGTTTTTTTAACCTATCTCCTGGGACTTCATGCATTCCAGTTTTGTCAGAAGACAAGAGGAGGGAACCTCAGGCCCGATCCTGATTATGGCCTTCCAGTCTTCTTCATCAGGCCCCCAGAAATCTCCCCGGGTCACGTCACTCAGACTGAGAAAGGTTCCTTGCCTCATTCAGAAGAGAACACTGCTTCTGCTGTTTCCTAGTTCTTGTTGACATCCCCTCCTCTCCTTTCCCCTCTGCTTATTGGAACTGCTATCCGTTTTTTCCTCTTTCCCCCAAAGAGCCATTGAATCCCAGTCGAGGTGGAATAATACATTTATGAACTCAGGAGGTACTCATTTCTGTAAACTGGATCCATAATTGCCCTGATCAGAGTTTTGCTGAATGAAGGGGGCAGGCAGGCAAAGTTCCCCAGTTGCACATACTGCTTCTCTGTGTCCCCTTAAAAGCTGCTCCGGAGAGTTGGGGGTTCCTTCAGAGCAGCACGAGGGGGGGGGAATTGGCAAAGATTTATTTACCACATTCCTCAGCTTTCTTCAAAGGAGCTCTTCCCCAGTTTACCCTCACAACAGCCCTGTGAGGTAGGTTAGGCTCAGAGACCATTACTGGCCAAAATCACCCAGGTGGTTTTATGGCTGAGTAGGGATTTGAACTCTGGCCCCTCAGGTCCCAGTCCAACACTCTAACCACTATGCTACACTGCCCCTGGCTCCCATGTCCCTTCAGTGGGAATCCTCAAGCACATCCAATTCTGCCAGTCTCTCTCTGATTAAACCATAGCTGGAAAGGAAAGGCTGCAAAACGCAGGAGGAAAAAAGAAAAATCTTTATGGCAGTAAAACAGAGAATGCAAACGTAAACAGATTCAGACTGCTGATGTTTCTCCCACTGCTATAATCAGTTAGCATTGTTTGCACTTAATACCTGTTTTTAACTGCTTCAGATAATTCATCCTGAGTGCCAAGCTCCCTTATGATAAACATTTCTTTTTGCTTAGGAGAGATTTTTCTTGGTTGGGGAGGGGGAGGGAATAGATCAAAACACAGAGTATATGAAACTGATCTGACATAGGGTAGATTTAATTCTGAGAGAGAGAGAGCTCTTGTCTGTTATTCATTGTGGGCTGACGTTCTCTGCCTGCGTGTGCACACCCTAGCTGCATTCACACTGCGGTTTATTCCATTTCCCTGACATTTCTCTAACTGTTACTCTGCACATTGTAGTCGAGCTTTCACGTGATATAAACGTGGCTTGTGGAAAAGGAATGGAATGGAATATAGTGCAAGTAACATTTCCCTGTTACTTGGTTCTGTAAAAAAAAGAAAAAAAGAAAGTTTGCAGTCCCCTCAGCCCGGAAAATCATGGGAGTTTTGTGTGACAGTTTTCCTGCCCAATATGCTGCCATGAGGCGGCATATTGGCATGCACTGCACTCCATGCCCATTTTAAGGCTTGCACTTTTGTTCTGTTTTTGCCTGAGCAGAAAGTGTGCCAAGTTTGGGGTACAGAAAACCCTGCCAAAAAACTAAAGCCTAGAAGAGCGGCAAAATGTAGAGGACACAGAGGGATGACCTCAACTTGGTGGTACAGTGGTACCTTGGGTTAAGTACTTAATTCGTTCCGGAGGTCCATACTTAACCTGAAACTGTTCTTAACCTGAAGCACTACTTTAGCTAAAGGGGCCTCCTGCTGCCACTGGAGCACGATTTCTGTTCTCATCCTGAAGCAAAGTTCTTAACCTGAAGCACTATTTCTGGGTGAGCGGAGTCTGTAACCTGAAGCATATGTAACCTGAAGCGTATGTAACCCGAGGTACTACTGTATAGTGATTGAGATGCGAGGAAACAGGCAAAGTAAAGTGCGAAAGCCATGTCAGAAAACAGGACAGAAGCACTAGCCTTATACAGTCATACCTCTTCTTGCGAACGCTTCATTTTGCGTTTTTTTTGGGTTAAGAATGTGGCAAACCTGGAAGTGTTTACTTCCGGGTTTCGTCGCGTGCGCATGCACAGAAGCGTTCTGCGTGGTTCGCACATGCGCAGAAGCACCACTCTGGTTATGGACTTTTTGGGGTGCGAATGGCATCCCAGAATGGATCGTGTCCGCAACCAGAGGTACCGCTGTAATCAGTCAAACTAGCTCAATAAACCCCACATGTGAAATGCAGCCATAGTCTCTCTCACACATGCACATATGACATACCCTCCAACTTGTTGAGTCCAAAAACTGGGACGTGTGTCTTCTTTTCCATGCTCCCAAGCAAGTCACATGACCTGTGCCAGATCACAAAAAATATTGGGAGGCATGTTCTCATGGCACCCAAAATGTGTGTTTCGGCGCACCGTGTGAGAACAAAGCAGTTTTTCAAGGTGAGATCTCAGCACCCAAAATGGCCACCGTGCTGTCATGGGGAAAATGGAATGTCTCGTGTTTTTTCTGGGACACCTGTGAAATATGATATTATGTTACTAACCACCTTCTAGGCATTTAGAAACAAATAAAGAAGCCTTATGTTTGGGTCCAGGGAAGATCATGCTCATATTGTGTTAGCTCAGCCTGAGATTTTTGTGTTTTTGCAAATTTTGACAAACGTTTGCTTCCCATGGTCAAAAAAACAAAAACAAATAAATCTTAAATTGGTGTCCCTCACAGATGTGGGACTATACTGTGGTGCCCCAAAGTGATACCACCTTGTTCTCCTCATGTAGAGACCCTTTTGCTTCCCAGTGCCTCTCACATCTGTCACCAGGTAGCCCACGTGAGGAAATCCTTCTCCTGAGAGAGATTAACTTTGGGCTGCTAGAGCAGCCACATCCTCTGAAGTCAGTCAAGGCCCTGAAATTCAGGAATAGAGCAGCAGCTGGAACATCTATAAGACAGGTTTGTCCTTCCATCATAGCTCTTGTATGTTTCAAAATGTAAGCTGCCTCAAGACTGTTGATTAGTACATGGGTCTTCATCATCGACATTTCATTTATTTAACAGGACTCATTGCAGACACACTGCAATAAGGCTTCCATCAGTTTTATGGAAATATTTTGAAACAGAACATTTTTCAGATGTCTTAAGTTGATTGGGATCTGAGTTAGCATGACTGACTTATATTTATAAATGAAAACAAGCCATGTACGCCATCTCAATTTTGAATGTTGTATAGATATTTCAAAAGTGGCAGAATGTAGCCCAAAGTAGTTGAATTGAAATGCTCAATTGGGGAGTCAGTTAGTGTTATGTTCAAATAAATACAGCATTTTTGTCTGAAGTTACTGTTGTTGGAAACATTTCAATTAAAATTAAATCTGGATAGCATTCACTACCCTTACATTGTTTAACTAATACCAGCAGTGGGAGGGATGAGAACATTGAAAACTATTAAGTTACTTTTTAAAAAAATGATGCCATGCTTGTTTGTAATTGATTCCTTGGCTAAGATAGAATGTGATCCTCAAATTCACCTCAGATACAAGACAGACATTCATAAGCATTCTAATGTTATGAACAGTATATGAATGAATTGTAGAATTTGAAGGGATGACCAGTGCCATCTAGTCCACCCCTGCAACGCAGGAAACTTTCATCCAATATGGGGTTCAAACCCATAACCCTGAGTTTAAGAATCTCATATTCTAACAACTAAACTATCTGAGATACAGACAGAGAGAGAGAGAGAGAGACTGTAAAGTTGTTTTGTGAAGTGCATTAAATAAATAAATTGCATGCATTTGTTTCAGAAATTATAAAACTCTCTACATGAGGAAAATACCCGAGCAATGTATAAAAATGAAATATAAAACCCAACATAAAATTGCATTAAAACATTGAAAAACCCTCACAAAAATTTCAAAAAACTGCCAATATAAAGTAGACTAATTTGATAAGGCTTGGGAGAAAAAGGAAAGCCAAACAACAACAGTAATAATCACAATAACAATAGGAGGCTTTTTTCGAGCCTAGCAGTTGCCCAAGGAAACCAGGTTGCCCTGGTTACTAGGATTAGTGTTGCAGAAATGCACAATTTAGGTGGTGTATAAACTGGACCAAAACTATTATATAATTACATGTAGGCTTCCTGTTCAAATGTGGAACCTTGTCTTCCAATAATTTTTGCTTCTTCCCCTCTCACTTCAAAGACCTGACTATCCCTGTTCTCCAGATTATTTTAGGGGATCCAGTTTTTGTTTTGCAGCTATGTATTTTATTCTTTTTTTTTTTATTGCTTTTCAGCCAGTGGGCTGAAATGACCTTCAGATGCCTTCTCTGTTTTCCCCTCCTAAACTCCTTTTAACACAAATGTGTACTGCTGTTTTAAGTAGGCTCCTGGAACTCCTAGGTCTGTAATATGAAGCAACCTTGAGTGTAAACTGGAGAGGGCAATAAGAATATAATAATTAGTGCATTATCTATAAGTCTACTATTCAGAGATGCAAGAGTTCATCGGGCTGACTTCATCCATAATATGGCACACTGTGAACTTTGCAAGCCTTTCATTCTCTCGGAGGAGCTGGGTTTACTATATAGTCAAACAAACAAAGAATACTGTTTCAATCAACAAGGAGACAGAAAACAATTCCTCTAACTTGTTTGCACAGACAAATTCTGGCAAGATTGTCCTCTGGATTTAAGTCCAATGTCTGAAAGAGAGAAAGAAAAATTATAGATTTCTTTTTTAAAGCTTTTGTCTGTTGTCTGCAAAGTCTTGTCTGCTTCTTACTGTTGTGGAACCGATTCGTGTCTCTTCGTTTCCATCTAATTTGTTTCAGTTAGATGCTTGCTTTCTAAGCTTGCTTTTTCTAGTGGAAAGGTCACTGGGGGTGTCCTTTTATGAACCCAGAATTTGATGATGTGGTTGCAATTTGACCATTATATGCCATCTTTCCCCGGTGTGATGAAGAAAAAAGGCCTATCTCACTTTGTATGAAAAGGCAGCGTAAGGCTGCCCATTTTGACACAGACACAAGCCCCAAGGATGTCAATGAAACTTACTCCCAATAGTCACCAAAATGGTACCCTCCATAGACTGCTGGACTCCAGTTCCTATCAGCCTTAGCCAACACAGCCTGTGGTGTGGGATGATGGGAACTGGAGTCCAGCAACATTTGGAGAGCTATACAGTATTTAAAAACAGGCATTTACAATGCATGAAAGCTCAAGTAGAAGCTGGAAATTAACAGTCAGGGAAATGTCATGAAAATGGAATAAACTGTCATGTGAACGCAGCCTCAGTAGCTTGTCAGAATCCTGGTAACTCTGTTTCTGCTGATGATGGATTAGCTGTTTTGTTGGAAGCCGCCCAGAGCGGCTGGAGAAACCCAGCCAGATGGGCGGGGTATAAATAAATTAGTAGTAGTAGTAGTAGTAGTAGTAGTAGCAGTAGTATTATGTTTCTTGAAATAATAATTCCAGTGCTATTGCATGAAATTAAGGAAATTAGCCAAATGATTTCTCCACAACTCAGCCTGTTGCGGATACAAGCTTTCAGGGCCAATTGCTCACATGGTACTGGAAGAGGAAGTGAAATGCAAGATAGGGCGTCATTTTCTTTGCCCTGTGCTAGTATGTTACCTGGCCAGTCTGCTTTGCCATTTTCATGTCTTGCAAATTCCTGAGGGGAAAGTATGAGTAACAACTTCTGTAGCCAGAATGAAGAGTGTGGGGTGTAAATAAAGGCACCGCATTCCTTCAAAATGGCTGTGAGATGGGAAAGGAGGGTTGGTGATGTTTTTAAGGAGGAAACTGCAGCGCTCTTTCCATTTTGTACACTTTATTAAGACTTCTAAATATCAAAATATTCAAATAGTGTACAATGAAAAAAGAGAAAAATACATAAAATGAAACAGTAAAATGTCATTGGAAAAATCCAGACATGTTTGCAGCATATACTAAAAGCCCCAAATTGCAGGAGCCTGGTGACCAGTCCCCAGAATTTGCAGGCTGGGAATGTCCCATGTCTGAAATGGCAGAGAGGCTCTGCCAGCTGGTAGACCAGGATTAGCCAACCTGGTGCCCTTCAGATGTCGTCAGACTCCAACTTCCTTCAGTCTCAGCCACCATAGTCAACAGCAGGGGATGAGGGAAGTAGAGCAAGCTGGATGCCCCTGGTGTAGACAGTACACAGCTAGATTACATTAACCATCATGGCTTTCCCCAGAGCAACCTGGTAACTGTAGTTTTTTAAAGGATGCTGAAAGTTGTTAAGAGAGCCCCTGTTCCCCTCACAGAGCTCAGACCCTCCAAGTGTCCCTATTTTCCAGGGACATCCCTGATTTAGATAAGCCATCCCAGTTTCTGATTTGATCCTAGAATGTCCCACCTTTCCTTAGGACATCCCTATCTATTTTCATTGGAGAAATGTTGGAGGGTATGGATTTATCCAGCCCCTGAGCTGTCTGAAGACAATCCTGTATAGGGAAGTTTTTAAAAAAGTTGTTTAATGTTTTATTATGTTTTTATATATGTTGGAAGCTGCCCAGAGTGGCTGGGGCAACCCAGTAAGATGTGTGGGAAATAAAGAGTAAAATTATCATTGTGGAATGGGACGTCCCTATTTTCACTGGAGAAATGTTGGAGGGTATGAGAGCTACATTTCCTAGAGTGGTTTAACAACATATCCCTCTTCCCAGAGAACTCTGGGGATTGTAGTTCTGTGAGGGGAATCCAGGTCCTCCTAACACCTTTTTGCACCTTTAACAAACTACAGCTCCCATGATGCTTTGGAGGAAGCCATGACTGTTTAAAGCGGTATGATACTGCTTTAAATGTATGGTCTGGATGTGACCTTAGCATAAGGCAGCTTCCTAGGCTGACACATTTCACCTTCCAAAACTTGAAGGAAGGAAGAACAGATGAAGAGAAATGTGTTGGCTATTTGCATGTAGCTCTGTTGGATATTCCTTGAATGTTTTATATGGAAGTGGACCTCACATTATTCTTCAATTGGGTGAATATAATTCAGAGAAAAACTAAATATACTGCTATGGGGTTACCAAAATATTGAGTATCCTTTTTGTAGGCTGTTCTGGTTCTGGAGAGTCCTCTTATTAGCTCAACAAGCCGAGTTTCTCTGCATATATTTTTATATTTAAAATGTCTTTGTATTTAACATGTACAGCAAAAAAGCCTGCCCCTGCGATCCGAGTGCAGATCCTCTGCTCCCACGTTTTGTAGGAAATGAAATTGCCTCGGATATTAAAATTAACACTTTTTAATAACAGAAATGTGATACCGTCCATTGAAGTCAGGCTTGAATTTATCTTAGGACTGTATATGTCATGGCCCGGGAGTATTTATGGAGTAGTTTTAAAAGTTCATTAAACTCAAGAGATTAGATATTGCCCTGAGCAGTGCTCCATAAAAGAGAAAAAATATAGTGCTATTACTTGGTAAAATGTTGTGCTATGTTGTTAATTTAACTCCCCTGAGTTCTCATCTTCTGATTCAAAAGACATTTCCTCGTGCTGTTAAATTTGACATTTTCAAAGAATCCCGGCCTGTGTCTCAAAAGCTTTCACCAGAAATTCAATATTGCACGTTTATTTCTGAAGGGGGAAGGAGGGAGGGGGGAGAGGACAGTCGCTTCAACCTACGGTTCCTTGGAAATGTCAAGCACATTGCTCTCCGCCATTTATCTCTCTTCCTTTTTACTGTGTCACTCGAGCTACTGAAACCTGATTATTCGCCCCCGCCCGCCTTGCAAAAACACAGAAAAGTCACAGGTAGAAAGCAGGGTTGGGGAGCACTTTTGAGTCTACGAGTCATGTTGTCTTAGGGACGTTGCTGTGGGGACAATCTCTTGGAAGAGCTGCCTACAAGCAGTGGGTGGTAGCTGCGGCAAAGAACTCCAGGAAAACCAATGCAAGTCTTTCCTTCTCTATTGCAGTCCAACTGCACAAAAAGACAGAAGCTTTTGGCTCCATAGATCCACATCTCTTCATCCAAGCAAACAGAGGCATCATCACAGCTTAAAGACACATCCAAGACAGGCAGAAGCATTCAAAGAACACACAGAGTAGGCCTGGTGAGGGTCCCTTGAAAGGCTTCCTGCAGCCCCCAGACCTGATGTTCCCGAACTCTGGTGCATCAGAAAGTGTCCAGGCATTTGTATCCTAGTTACTAAGACCAGGAAAGGGACACGGGTGGTGCTGTGGGTTAAACCACAGAGCCTAGGACTTGCCGATCAGAAGGCTGATGGTTCGAATCACCGTGACGGGGTGAGCTCCTGTTGCTCGGTCCCTGCTCCTGCCAACCTAGCAGTTTGAAAGCACGTCAAAGTGCAAGTAGATAAATAGGAACCGCTCCGGCGGGAAGGTAAACGGCGTTTCCGTGTGTTGCTCTGGTTCGCCAGATGCGACTTAGTCATGCTGGCCACATGACCCGGAAGCTGTACACCGGCTCCCTCGGCCAATAAAGTGAGATGAGCACCGCAACCCCAGAGTCGACCACGACTGGACCTAATGGTCAGGGGTCCCTTTACCTTTACCTTTACCTAAGACCAGGAAGCCTTCTGGGCAGAGATGCCATTGAACCTCAGCACTCTCAGGCCTGGATGCAAACTCTGGGAGCACATAAATAATAATTCATAATGATTTTATTATTGATATCCCACCCATCTGTCTAGGTTTCCCCGGCCACTCTGGGTGGCTTCTCCCAGAA